GCTCAACTTACAAATCTTTATTGCTCGTGCTTTTGCTTGTTTTGCTATGTTTGGCTTTGTTTTTGCTTATTTAGTTTGTGTTTATATTACCTTGCTTATTACTCCTTATTTGTTCTCATTATACCACATTCCTGGATTGTGTATTGTGTATTTGTGCATTACCTGTTTTCCTCCATTGTGCAATTTGCTCACTCGTGTTTGTGTTTAACTGTGAACTTGTTGTACACTTGGGGAAAAGGTAACAGGTAAGATCATCGGATATATATTTCACTCATAGGATTGTTTTCTGTCTAGACACACTAGGTTAGAGGCGTGTGCCACTTGTGTATTTTGGTTCTGGGTAGTTCAGTGTAGGGAAGTTAGGGTGCGTGAAGACGCCGAAGACCCTTTTCTTTTTGTTTGTTTGGGTTAGTTAGTTTTGGTTAGTTAGGTTAGACCTCATTGTATTAGTTATAACAACCATTTAGTTTTGTTATGTTCTTTCATTTGGCACTGCTCAAATTCATTTTCCCTGTGTGTTATTGTGTCCTGTTTACGTACTTTCACTTATTCACTTTTTTAAAATAAATCACTTTTGCACAAACTTTTGTTGTCACGCTTCCTAAATCCCTCACCAGAAACCCACCTGCATCCAAACCCATCCTAAATTTTACACCCCTTTACCCATAGACACCTGGGGTCATAACAGTTGTCCTGTGTACTTCTGCTTGAAAACCACTGGTCTAAGGTTAATACCTGATAGAGCAAACTTCTTGCTGTTCTCTAGAGATGGGAAAATAAACTGCCGGAGATCCTCCATATATGGCAGTTGGACATACATCAGGCACTGAGAAAACAGAGAGATGCAACAAGCAGCACCATGTTAAGCAACAGCCATGACAAACGATATCAAAGCACATCACATTTATTGTAGCTAATGGTACAGTAACAGCACTTCTGGTCCAGATGTTCGGATGAGACATAAAATTGTGGTCCTCACTCCCAGGGCATTTCTCAAAATAGTAGCAGTGTTACCCTGGTGTCCTGGCTAAATTTCCCAATGGCCTTTACTAATCATGGCCTCCGAATAATCCCCATCTATGAATTGGCTTCATCACTCTGTTCTCCTCCCCACTGACAGTTGTTGTGTGGTGAGCAAACTGGTGCACTATGGCTACCGTCATATCATCCAGGTGGGGCTGCAGATTGGTGGTGGAGGAGGGAAGTCTCCAATACCTCTAAAGTGCTTTGTGTGGGGTCCAGAAAAGAGCTATAACCAGCAATTCAGAATGCGCAAGGGATACTGCAGTAGTTTGCAGTCCAGCCACTGCGTGAGACTGCACAAGACTGCAGCAGATTGCGGTAGACCGCAGCATTTTAGAAATTTTCAGTCAAGTGAGTGCGCTACTTTCTAAAACGCCCAGGTGGAGCTGTGAAAACTGATCGTGGTGTGTGGAGCATTTGGGCTGTCATCAGAAAACGCCTGGTTTCGAATCCCGCTCATTGTTGAGGAACAATCTTTTTCCAATGATAGAATTTAAATTGTACACTGTTTAGACTCTTATTAATTTTAAACTGGTATTATACTGGAGCTTGTGAATGTGATGTGCCTCTTTCATGCTTACATCCACATAGAGAAAATCCAAGGGCAAATAACAATACTGTAATGTAATACATACCTAATGTACACACAGTAGATGGTAGTGATGGCTAAATATGAAAATGTACACAACAGGATTCCACCCTCTTCATAAATATTTTATGCATCAAAGTCTTTAACATGATGACGTACGGTGAATTATGGTTCCAATGTGCTTGTTCAGGCATTTTACAGTTTATATACTGCACTTCATAAAAAGTTACTGTATGTTTTATCCTTTTCTAA